GAAGTTTCTGGAGAATATTTTTCTAAAAATATTCTTAAGGATAACTCAACAACACTTCGCCGGACAACGCGTCGCATATATGGACTCAACGCCAACAATCGATGGTCAGTTCTATGTTGAAACAACAAGAACGAGCTAAAGATCAGAAAATCAGGAATCGACTTCAAGTTCAGAATTCCGACAACGGTCAGACAATAAATGCAGCACCGGAACCCTTACAGACATTCGACGAAGCACCGAATAGCCTGAAGGATTGAAGGAATCAAGAACAGAAGCCATTCCAAAGTCCCGTTACACCGACTGAAGGTTGGGACGATCATATCCAAAGTATTCCAGACTCTTCTATAAAAGAACGAGACTGAAATACTTTGGAGGGGGTATCTGTAGGCATATAAAATTGCTTATAGGTCCCTTAGCTCAGCTCGGCACAAACCGACAAACCAACGAGGCAACGAGATTGACTAATCGCACGCAAGCAACGGAATACGTCCATTCGCGTGCGGGATCAAGCCAAGTGTTCGAAGAGTCAACGAGTCATCCAACCGAGAGCGGACTCGGACGAATCACGATCGAATCATCAAGCCAACGATTCGGGGAGTCAACGAGTCATTCAACCATAGAACGGATTCGAACTCGAACACCGAAGTGGATTTACTGCCATATCGGGATCCAGACTGCCATATCAGAGTCCAGATCAGCGACGAAACTCAGACAAAGCGTAAAACCGAACAACGGACACAACACCTGGAGGACTCGGCCAAAACCGAGCCACCTCTAGGTGGCCGGCCAGATCTGTGCCCGAACACAGATCTGAGTGCCTATAAATAGAGGGGCATGGCTCATTTGTGAGTGGTTGGAATTTTTGGAGGCGAAGCTCTGCTGGATTGAAGGCTCGGAACTAAAAAAGATTGAAGCTTTGGGACTTTGAGGACTTGCTCTTCCAGATCCGGTGCTCGGCGATCGTCAACGCCAAATAAGGCAAGAGTTCGAGAGGAACCGGATCCCATATCTACGTAGTCATCATCCGGATCAAAGCTTGGCATTTGATCCTGAGAACTAAAGGCTACTATTTCCTTGGCGAAATAGTACCCTCGGCTATTATTTCCTTGGAGAAATAATACCCGTCATACTGCATAGATCCGACCGGATCTAGATCACGCGGTGGTCCACGGATAAACCCCGGCGCAGGCGAAGAACCCACAAAGCGAGTGACCGCAAAACAGGAGCTCGTGATTTGTTCGACAAATAAGGAAAGAATTGTAATTTTCTTTTTCTTTTGATCTCGTTGTAACCGGATCTTATAAAAAGACCGGATCTTTGTAATCGATAAACTATTACAAGAGTGTGCAATGGAATCAATGAAGAACACAATTTTTCCCGCGAACATTATTGTTGAAACTGTGTCGTTTCAGAGTTGAAATTGTATCGTTTTTGAGCAATGTAAACGTGTGATGACATGTAATATGTGTTGTTTGATCAATTGATGACGTGTAAGATGTGTTGCTTGATCAATTATTCACCTCGACGAGAGGTTGTCGCTCAATTTTCTAGCTTTAGGAAAAGTATAGCTCTTTATAGAAATGTATAGCACCTTATTGATAAAGTATAGCACATTATGACAAAGTATAGCACTTTATGGCAATAGTATAGCACATTATTGATAAAGTATAGCATTTTATGGTTTTTGGAATTTCTTCAACGTAGTGGGATAAACCAAATCAGTTTTTTTTTGGAGCAATGCGAACACTTGATGACGTGTAAGATGTGTTGCTTGATCAATTATTCACCTCGACGAGAGGTTGTCGCTCAATTTTCTATCTTTAGGAAAAGTATAGCTCTTTATAGAAATGTATAGCACCTTATTGATAAAGTATAGCACATTATGGCAAAGTATAGCACTTTATGAAAATAGTATAGCACCTTATTAATAAAGTATAGCACTTTATGATTTCTGGAATTTCTGCAACGTAGTGGGATAAACCAAATCAGTTTTTTTTCGGCGCAATGCGAACACTTGATGACGTGTAAAATGTGTTGCTTGATCAATTATTCACATCGACGAGAGGTCGTCGCTCAATTTTTCAGCTTTAGGAAAAGTATAGCTCTTTATAAAAATGTATAGCACCTTATTGATAAAGTATAGCACATTATGATAAAGTATAGCACTTTATGGCAATAATATAGCACCTTATTGATAAAGTATAGCATTTTATGGTTTCTGGAATTTCTTCAACGTAGTGGGATAAACCAAATCAGTTTTTTTCGGAGCAATGCGAACACTTGATGACATGTAAGATGTGTTGCTTGATCAATTATTCACCTCGACGAGAGGTTGTCGCTCAATTTCTATCTTTAGGGCCTGTTTGGATTTGTAGGGGGTGAAGGGAAGTTAAGGGAAACTGAGTGAAGGGAAGGGAAGGGAAGGGAAGGGAATTCCCTTCCCCTTGGTTACACCCCAATTTGGGGGGTAACAATTTTATACTATTAGGGGTGAATCAAGGGGAACTAGGGTGAATTAACTTCTTCTCCTAAGTGTTCCCAAACAAGGTGAATGGAGGTGAATGGTTCCCCTAACTTCCCTTCACCCTCATTCCCCTCAATCCAAACAAGCCCTTAGGAAAAATATAGCTCTTTATAGAAATGTATAGCGCCTTATTGATAAAGTATAGCACCTTATGACAAAGTATAGCACTTTATGACAATAGTATAGCACCTTATTGATAAAGTGTAGCACTTTATGATTTTTGGAATTTCTGCATCGTAGTGGGATAAACCAATTCAGTTTTTTTCGGCGCAATGCGAACACTTGATGACGTGTAAAATGTGTTGCTTGATCAATTATTCACATCGACGAGAGGTCGTCGCTCAATTTTTCATCTTTAGGAAAAGTATAGCTCTTTATAGAAATGTATAGCACCTTATTGATAAAGTATAGCACCTTATGGTAAAGTATAGCACTTTATGGCAATAGTATAGCACCTTATTGATAAAGTATAGCACTTTATAGTATAGCATAAAGTATAGAAATTCCAGAAATCATAAAGTGCTATACTTTATCAATAAGTGTATAGCACTTTATGAAAAATTGCACACTCTTGTAATAGTTTATAAAAATTGTGTTCTTCATTGATTCCATTGCACACTCTTGTAATAGTTTATAAAGTATAGCACTTTATGATTTCTGGAATTTCTATACTTTATGCTATACTATAAAGTGCTATACTTTATCAATAAGGTGCTATACTATTGCCATAAAGTGCTATACTTTACCATAAGGTGCTATACTTTATCAATAAGGTGCTATACATTTCTATAAAGAGCTATACTTTTCCTAAAGCTAGAAAATTGAGCGACAACCTCTCGTCGAGGTGAATAATTGATCAAGCAACACATCTTACACGTCATCAAGTGTTCGTATTGCTCCAAAAAAACTGATTTGGTTTATCCCACTACGTTGAAGAAATTCCAGAAACCATAATATGCTATACTTTATCAATAAGGTGCTATACTATTGTCATAAAGTGCTATACTTTGTCATAATGTGCTATATTTTATCAATAAGGTGCTATACATTTCTATAAAGAGCTATACTTTTTCTAAAGCTGAAAAATTGAGCGACGACCTCTCGTCGATGTGAATAATTGATCAAGCAACACATTTTACACATCATCAAGTGTTCGCATTGCGCCGAAAAAAACTGATTTGGTTTATCCCACTACGTTGCAGAAATTCCAGAAATTATAAAGTACTATACTTTATCAATAAGGTGTTATACTATTGCCATAAAGTGCTATACTTTGCCATAATGTGCTATACTTTATCAATAAGGTGTTATACATTTCTATAAAGAGCTATACTTTTCCTAAAGCTGAAAAATTGAGCGACGACCTCTCGTTGAGGTGAAGAATTGATCAAGCAACACATCTTACACATCATCAATTGATCAAACAACACATCTTACATGTCACCACACGTTTGCGTTGCTCAAAAACGTTACAATTTTAACTCTGAAACGACACAGTTTTAACAATAAGAACATAGTTACATCGTGAAACAACAATTACACATCACCACTACAAAAGATTATCACAATATGTAACACTTTACTATAAAGAGTTGCACTTTTCCAAAATCTGAAAAATTGATTACAAGCTCACATGACATACATCAGAGAACACTAAGCGTAAATTCAACGAACATGTGGTGGGCGACGACAAGTGCTTCAGAGTCTTGTCTGCCTCCATGTCGGCGAACTGGGGGGAGTCGATGTCGAAACCGTTGGTGGGCTGTTCATTCGATTCGAGGTTGACAGTGGTGGGTGACGTGGCGGCGAGGGGAGATAAAGGGCAGCAGAGGGAGAGGTTGATGGGTTTGAGGGAGGAGGGGAAGTGAAGGAAGGGGAGAGGAGGAGGTTGGTGGTGGTCATTGAAGGAGAAGAGGAAGGAAGAAGAGAGCTTGTGTAGTGAATTTGAGGGTAAATACAGTAATAATGGGTGTATTATACATATTGGGTTTAGAAATAAGTGGGGTGGGATACAATATTAATGTTTGGAAAAGTTAATGGGTTTTTAAATAAGTGGGGGTAAAACTTTGGGTTAAAAAAGAAAAACCCCTTGTTTTTTTCATAGTCACATACGCAGCAAGGTGAAATATGAACATTTTGAATGCTACTCCAACAGATAGCTATATTTTTCAAACTTTCACACGCTTCGAGCTCCAACCTACTCTCTTCCCCTCAGAGTCAACTCCCTCCCTCCCCAGTCCCCCCCACCTTAACCACAAAACCCTCCATGGGTTCGCCCCCTGAGACCCAAGACCTCATCGAAAGGCCGCGACCCGATACCGGTCCAGAGCCCACGGAGCCATCCAAACTCAGCGTTCTTCTCGAGCCCTTGGAATGGATCAGGATGCTGTGCAGGGAGCTGGG